TTGGGGAGTAAAACAGAGGATGGCAACTTCCCCCCCCTCCCTCTCACTGTCTCCCAACCTCTCACATAAACATAGATAATTTTTGAAAGATTTATTTTATTTTCATTACAAAGTCAGATATACAGAGAGGAGGAGAGACAGGAAGCTCTTCCGTCCGATAATTCACTCCCCAAGTGGCCGCGACAGGTGGTGCTGCGCCAATCTGAAGCCAGGAGCCAGGAACTTCTTCCAAGTCTCCTACGTGGGTGCAGAGTCCCAAGGCTTTGGACCGTCCTAGACTGCTTTCCCAGGCCACAAGCAGGGAGCTGGATGGGAAGTGGAGCTGTAGGGATTAGAATCGGTGCCCATATGGGATCCCGGTGCGTTCAAGGTGGGGACTTTAGCCGCTAGGCCATGCTGCCAGGCCCATAAATAATTTTTTTAAAAAATGATTTTAAAACAGAGTACGCCAAATGCTTACACATGTGTCAAGAAAACAACTGGGCAGATAAGGGAATAGGGATGCAAATGTCAAATAGTTAAGAAAGGCTTCACTGAGAAGGTGACGTTTAAACAGGGACTGTAGGAGCAGAGGCCCTGGGGTAGGGACCACCTCCATTGAGGGAGGAGAGATGAAGAACTGAGCTCGTGGACTGGCTTCAGAGGAGTTACACACAGCAGGTGCTCAACAAGCTGGGAGAGAGAGACTACGACTGGACCCAGAGATTCTGAGGCTGAATTTTGGAAACAGAAGCCCCAGTTTGATAAAGTCAAGGAAAATTCAGCAAGTTGAAGATTTTGTTCTCACTTCCCTGCTTTGCTTTGAATTTGCTTTTTTGCTTTTTTTTTTTTTCCTTTGCATTTGAGGCATTGGCAGATACTGCTGTTGAAATTCATGTTCTCCAAAAAAAAAAAAAAGTGGTTTTTTTTTGGAAAAAATTAAAACACCATTTCCATGAAGAATAACCAGTTCATGGGAGCATTGGGAGTGACTGAAGGGCCAGGGGGGCTTGGGGCTTGCCCAGTGCGATGAGAGCATTAGGCCTCTGCCAAGGTTGGTGAGTCAGTACTGGCCTCTCCGAGGACCTTGCAATGACTTTCACAGGACCACCTTACTGTTTCCATAGATGCTATTTTTCAGAACTGGAAACAACAGAAGGTTCTGGAAGATTCACTGTTTCTCCCCAGCGAGTCCTGGGGCTAAAGGCCTCTGTCGTGGACTCTGTGGCACTGCCAGCTAGGCCTCTCAGTGCCAAATGGATGCGTCCCTGGGAGACCGCGGCCACAGCGGGGCGCCCTGCAGGGGCTGGGTGGCTGGCTGGTCAGTGCTGGTGCCCTTTTCAAACGCGCCATCTGAAGAACAGCCTCTTTGTGTATTTGGGAGGACTTCCCAAGAATTCGGGGGCACAGAATCTGGTCCCAAGAAAGAGCTCAATTCGTTTTCTTTCTTTTTTTTTTTTAAGATTTATTTATTTTTATTGGAAAGGCGGATATACAGAGAGGAGAGACAGAGAGGAAGATCTTCCGTCCGATGATTCACTCCCTAAGTGACTGCAATGGCTGGTGCTGCACCGATCCGAAGCCAGGAGCCAGGAACTTCTTTCAGGTCTCTCATGTGGGTGCAGGGTCCCAAGGATTTGGGCCGTCCTCAACTGCTTTCCCAGGCCACAAGCAGGGAGCTGGATGGGAAGCGGGGCTGTCTGGATTAGAACCGGCGCCCATATGGGATCCCGGGCGTGCAAGGCGAGGACCTTAACCACTGCGCCACCGCGCCGGGCCCTCAATTCATTTTCAAGTCACAAAAGTACAGTGAATTTTACAGCTTTTCCATTTTTGGTTTTTCTTTCCTATAATAGATTCTTTCGGTGAAAATTATTCTTGTATTCAGTATCTTTACACCTTCCTTTTTTAAATGATTATTTTTATTGGAAAGGCAAATTCACAGAGAGACAGGAAAATCTTCCGTCTCCTGGTTCAGTCTCCCAAGCAGCTGCAAAGGCTGGAGCTGAGTCGATCCAAAACCAGGAGCCAGGAGCTTCTTCTGCTTCTCCCATACATGTGCAGGGTTTTAAGGCCTTGGGCCATCCTCTACTGTTTCCCAGGCCACAGGCAGGGAGCTGGACGGGAAATGGAATAGCCAAAACACGAACTTGTCACCCATAGGGATGCTGGCATTCAAGGCAAGGATTTATTCACTGAGCCATCGCCCCTGGCCCTTACACCTGCCTTTTTAAAGAAAGATTTGTGTTTTTTTTTTTAAGGTTTATTTTTATTGTAAAGGCAACCTTAGAGAGAAAGAGACAGAAAGTAAGATCTTGAACCCGGCACCGTGGCCTAGTGGCTAATGTCCTCTCTTTGATCCTGCACCCACATGGGAGACTCGGAAGAAGCTCCTGGCTCCCGGCTTCGGATTCGCGCAGCTCCGGCCGTTACAGTCACTTGGGGAGTGAAGCAGTGGACAGAAGATCTTCCTCTCTGTCTCTTCTCTCTGTATATCTGACTTTGCAACAAAAAATAATACATCTAAAAAAAAAAGTGAAATCTCACACCCATTGGTCACAATGAGAGAAAGCTGAGCCAGGAGCCTGGAACTCCGCCCCAATCTGCCTTAGGGGTCCAAGGATATTACCATCCCAGGAACCCAACCCAGTGTCTCCACCAGGCAGCAAAGAAAGAAGTTAAATCAAAAGCAAAAGCTCTGGGACCAGTGCAATGGGTCAGTTGGCTAATCCTCCCCCTTCAAGAGCCAACATCCTGTATGGGTGCTGGTTCGTATCCCAACTGCTCCACTTCCCATGCAGCTCCCTGTTTGTGGCCTGGGAAAGCAGTCAAGTGTGGCCAAAAGCCTTGGGATCTGCTCCCACATGGCAGACCAGGGAGAAGCTCCTGACTTCGGACGGGCTCATCTCTGGCCATTGTGGCCAAATGGGGAATGAAGCAGAGGATGGAAGATCTTTCTCTGTCTTTACATAGTTAATTGGGGCACAAAGTTTCAAGGGTTATAGGAAAGTGGGTAACACTATTATTTCTACATTTTTTTCTGTATCTAGGGTAAAGGAGGAGATAAAAGGAGAAGCCCCACCCAGTCTCTCACCCACCCCAGGTCCCTGACGTGGGACATGCTCCGAGGGTCTTGCTCAAGTGGTTTTGATAGTTCAACAGTTATGAATTGCTGCCAATCTCGTCATTCCAAGCATGATGAAGTCACTGCAGAATCCACTGATTGACATAGTCCACCTTAGAGTCTCTGTTTGCCCGGTTTTTCACTGCCAACATAAGGCCGGGGCAGTTGATTGATTTGTTCTGTCCTCTGTTGTGGTGCCAGGTTTCCTCTGCAGGTTCTGATAGACTGCCATATCCTCCATGCGCAGCCGGTTATGCTTTCCACTGTTCCGTCTCAGCCTCTGAGGAGGCTCGGCTCTGGCTGTTGCACTCCATGGCAGACCATGGAATCTGTACTTCTCTTCATGGTTGGGGTTCTGAGATCAGCAGCACAGTTGGGGGGATCCCCAAAGAAACTTTGTCTGAGGTGATCCCGGACCAGATTCTTATGTGTATTTGCAAGCACAGGGCCCGGCACAGTCCATCACCCCAATCAGATGGTGGTTGCAATTGCTGGTTCAGTTCTGTTTCCAGTCCTGTCTTCCACACTAACCGATGAGTGTTGCAGTCCAGCCTAATTCTGCCCACCACACACTCAGCCCTCACATAAACCAGTGGGAGCTGCAACCTAATCAGAGCGACCCACAATAACCCCCAATAGGCCTGCCCCTTGCTCTGGTTCCCATGCTTACCAGTATGTACAGCAGACTTGTCCAGTCTGTCCCACGTCCCATTCAGCTCTCCTACATGTCGATGGGCATTGAAGCCTAATTCAACCCACCCAGCTCTACTATCCAGCCCACACACATACTGTTGGGTGCCGTTCTTTCCAGCCACCCCTGCCCCAGTCCTGGTTTTCATGCTCTCCAGTGGGAGTGGTAACCCAAGAGGGAGGTGCCCACTATTTCCCTACTAGGCCACTCCCACTCCCAGATCCTAAGCTTTCTGGAAGGTTCTGTAGTTTAACTTGACTGATTAGCCACCATTGTCAGCCTCTGCTATCTGGTGCTGCAGCAAAGCCCAACCAACCCTCACCCATTCTGTTTAATGTTTGCGCCAATAGGGACAGTCAACCAAGCCTGATCTGGCTCGCATGAGGCCCGTATGTGTTGTAGCCCTGCTTAGTCTGCTCTGCCCCCAACCTAACTCATGCTCTCCAGTGGGCGAGCTGTTCCAGTAGGGAGGCCTTCTACATTCCGCCTACTAGCTTTACCCCTTCTCTCCCTGGTTCCTACTAGTGCTGCGGCCCAGTCTGGCATGATCCGCCTTACCTTGGCATTTGCTAGTGGGCACTGTAGCCTGACCCGGCCAGGCCCACCCCCAATTCCAGCTGGCGAGGGTTACAGTCTAGCCCAGCCCAGCATGCACCTTATCCCATCTGTAATGTGTACTGGTATGTGTTGCGACCATACCCGGCCCGACCCACACTGTCTGGTGCTCGGATTTATCAGCAGCTGATGTGAACTGGTTCAGCCTGACCCACCTTTGACCTGTGCCAAATGTATGCTGGTGGGTACCTTTCCCTGGCCTGGTCTGGGCTGCTCCTTAGTGTACTTCTTTTTTTTTTTTTAAGATTTATTTATTTATTGGAAAGTCAGATACACAGACAGGAGGAAAGACATAGAGGAAGATCTTCCGTCTGATGATTCACTCCCCAAGTGAGCGCAACGGCCGCTGCTGCGCCGATCCGAAGCCAGGAGCCAGGAACTTCTTCTAGGTCTCCCACACAGGTGCAGGGTCCCAAAGCTTTGGGCCGTTCTCGACTGCTTTCCCAGGCCACAGGCAGGGAGCTGGATGGGAAGTGGGTCTGCCGTGATTAGAACTGGCACCCATATGGGATCCCAGTGGGTGTAAGGCAAAGACTTTAACTACTACTATTGCTCCGGGCCCAAGGTAATAAATTTTAAAACATGTCAAAATAATTGAAATGTTAATTTTATTACTTTCCTATCATAAAGGCAATTTATGCTAATTATATAACCTAGGGGAGCTAGCAGAGGAACAGGTTTTGTTTTTAATTTCCTATTGGCCCGTCCCAGGAAACATTGCTAATGGTTTGGCTCATGTGCTATGTGAGTCTTTTCCTACGTGTTTCTGAACACAGCTCAGATTTCACTAGAAAGTTTTATGTCCAGCATCGTTGACACATTATAATTAACCTTCTTTTAATAAAAATCTCTATAATTTCAGGAAGAGAACAACATTCCACAACCACACGGCCACACTGCTGTGTAGGCAAGCCATTCTCGTGATTGCAAAGCGTTAGGAAGGCGCATTAACTGACGTAGACACGGTGGCCAGCCCACGCCCCTTGCCGCTGGCCGCTGTGGAGCAGCAAGGCCAAGGCCCCCCGGCAGGAGACAGCGGCTCACAGGTCGCTGCCCAACCGCTGCAGTTCATCCAACAGGAAGTCCAGGTCCGCGCGGGTGAGCGCCGGGTTGGCCACGATCACACGGAAGAAGTTGGCCTGGCTCCCGTGCGGCTGGTAGCCGATCATCATGGAGCCCGCCTTCACCATGCGCTCCTTAAGCATGGGTGCCACCTGCCAAAGGGGGGTGGGAAGGGGTCATGTCTCAGACAGCCTGGCACACGCTGGCTCTGCACAGGCAACTGCTTTCCAAAATGGCAACTCCTAAAGGGGCAAGACCTGAACTCCTATCCTTCCACATCATCTCCAGTGCCCCTGGCACTGGTCGGTCTGTCCCGAAGCTCTGGACATGATCTAGCTGTGTGCCTGCAGGGGGCGGCCTTCCTGCATTTTTTTTTTTTTTTTTTTTTGGTCCCCAACAGCCTCGATAAGCCCTCTGTGTGCCCTTTCTGCCTCTCAGCTGTATCTCTGGCTCCACTCAAGCTTCCCAGCCCCTCTACCCTAGTGATCTCCACCATCCACCAGGGACCCCGTTTCTCTTGCTGGGCTCATGGAGCAGGTCTGGGCGGAGAGGTCTGCCTTAGTCCCCACGGCCGCCCGGCCACACGTGCAGCAGGGCAGAGCAGGTGCACCTTGGCCAGCCTCTGGTCGTAATCAGGACTCCCCTGCTGACCCCGCAGGCTCAAGGGCACAAACCAGAAGCACACGTTGAGGAACTCCGGCTGCAAAGGAGGAAGGGGAAAGTGTGGGAGGAGAAGGAAGAGAGAGCCGTCTTGCAGCCCCACTTTCCCCACAGGGAGTTCAGAGTAGTGTCCCTGGAGACCCCCTGCTGGTCACCTCCATGATAAGTTCAAATCCTTCCCGCTTCTTCACTTCCTCTACCAAGTACCTGCAAAGAGAGGGTGAGAACTTACCAGCTGGAGGAGGAGGAACAGACCGGCAGACACACAGAAGGCACCTGTAGTGTAGAAGAGCCTGGGGGACAGTCCCCACGCCTCACCGAGCGAGGGTGAAGGCGCGGTCCACTCGCAGCTCCAGGCCCTGGTCGCCCTGGGCCTTCCACATGAGCCACAACTTGAGACAGTCGACTCGGCGGCCACACTGCACCGCCTTGTCGCCTGTGTCCAGGGCCACGTCGTAGAACTTATCCTGCTGGAAGAGGTAGCTGGCCTGGGAGCCATGACAGCGTTTCAACAGGTTCTGTGCAGAAGGGCGGCCAGCAGCCAGTCAGAGCCCATCCTGGCCCTGGAGGAGGGGGGGTTGGAGGGAGGGCAACCGCCACCTGCCCCAACCCCTTACTCTGGTCCTCCCCACTCACCCTGCTACCCAGCACCCTGACTTAGGCCCAGGATCATTCCAACTGCAGCTTCAGGATAAGGGATATAAGGAGGAGGGTGGGTCATGGAATCAGGGGAGCAGCAAAGGGACAGAGAACAGCTAAAACCTGGAGCCCTCTACAGGTTGGGGAGGAACAGGGAAGAAGACAACCTGGTGTGGGGGATGCTAGGGGAGAGGGAAGACCAGGGCTGGGCCCCACCCACCGAGGTGTCTCGAAGCAGGAGGGCAGAGCACTGCAGACCGGCTCCCAGGAGCTTGTGGGGGTTCCAGGCCACTGAGTCAGCCCTGGGTGAAGCACAGTCCTTGTTTCAGCGGCACCCTCTCCTCCCCAGGCCCCCAGATCGCAGTCTGGACCTCCCAGCCCTAAGGAACTAAGTCTCCAGTCTCCATCACATCCTACCCCAACCCACCTTGCCCTACCCGCCCACCAGCCTCCTTCCCCCAGCCTCATCCATCTCTGAAGGGGTCTGGGAGAAGTGGCCATGTGCACCTGTGGATCCCCTCCAGGAGATGCCTGTGTGTCCGTGACAGCAGCACGCTCCCACCCCAGGCGGCCTGCGCGGCGGGAAGGAACAACACAGGCCTTGGCTTCGGCTCAACCCGCCCCGCCCCGCCCCAGTCCCACTCACATCCACGTGCAGCCACAGCCCGTGACGCTGGCACACATCGGCGATCGCCTCCAGCGGGTCAAAGGCGCCCAGCACGGTGGTCCCGCAAGTGGCATTCACCAAGAATGGCACGGCTCCCTATTGCAAGAAAAGCAGGCAACAGGGTTGTTTCCAAAGCTCCCGGGAGGGGGCAGGAGTTTGGGTAAGTGGCTGAGAGGTCAGTGCGGTCACTTGCACCCCATATCCGACTACCTGGATTCCAGTCCCACTCCCTTGCTGATCCCAGCCTTTCTGCTCAGGTGCATCCTGGGAGGCAGGAGCTGAGAGCCTGAGAAGTTGGGGTTCCTCCACACCCACAGGGGACACTAGGACTGAGTTCCCAACTCTTCACTTCAGCCTGGCCAGGCCCCAGCGTTGTGGCATTTGGGGAGTGGACTGGCAGAAGGGAGCACTCTCCATCGGTCTCTCTCGGTTTGTTGGCTTCTCAAATAAACTAATTAGCGGCCGGCGCAATGGCTCAACTGCCTAATCCTCCACCTTCAAGCATGGCATCCCATGTGAGTGTCAGTTCTTATTCCAGCTACTCCACTTTGGGTCCAGCTCCCTGCTTGTGGCCTGGGGTGTAGAGGACAGCCCAGGTTCTTGGGACTCTGCACCAGCGTGGGCGACCCAGAGCAGGCTCCTGGCTCCTGGCTTCAGACTGGCAGCCATTTGACGAATGAGAAGTGGACAGAAGATTTCTCTGTATCTCCTGCTCTCTGTAAATCTGCCTTCCCAATAAAAATAAATCAAAAATTCTTTAAGTAAACTAATTAGATGAACAAAACACCAGCCCCCAGCTCTCTGCCTGAGCCAGCCCAGGCTAACATCCCAGGCAGGTTTCATGTTCAGACAGGCATCCTGGGAGCCAGAGCTCCAAGCAGAAACTCCAGAAATGGGACTCAAACCCAGGACTGTCTGGTTGTGTTGTCTCTGTGCTTTCAAAAATAAAAAAGTAATGTGTTACTGGAATGCAAAAGTTACAGAAAAAAAATTTGAACAGCATAAACACAGAGAAACTGCATTCAAAATTTAAAAACTGTAATTAGACATCTCACTCCCTCTTCTCTGTAACACTGAATTTTTTTAAAAAATTTCTTTGTTTTTATTGGAAAGTCAGATATACAGAAAGGAGGAGAGACAAAGAGGAAGATCTTCTGTCCGATGATTCACTCCCCAAGTAGCCACAATGGCCAGTGCTGGGCCAATCCGAAGCCAGGAGCCAGGAACCTCTTCCAGGTCTCCCACATGGGTGCAGGGTCCCAAGGTTTTGAGCCATCCTCCACTGCTTTCCCAGGCCACAAGTAGGGAGCTGCATGGGAAGCGGGGCTGCTGGGATTAGAACCGGCACCCATATGGGAACCCGACACTTTAGCCATTAGGCTACCATGCCAGGCCCCTAACTCTGCCTTTTAAATAAAGAATTTTTCAAAGAAAACTACCACTAGATTGGTTGATCTGTGGCTCTCTCCCTTTCACTTTGCAACTCTTTCACGTAAATCAATAAATCTTTTAAAAACAAAACAAAACAAAAAAAACCCATGCTCAAACGCTTCATTGATGAATTCAACCAAACATTCAACAAAGAATATAAGCCAGGTTACTGGCTCTTCCGAAAATCAGGATATACAGAAGGATTTTTATAACTGTCATCAAATTCACGGAGACAGAAAGAAAACCTGCACCTGGTGGGGCTTGGAGCAGGGGAGCGGAGAGCTGCTGTCTAGTGGGTGTGGGGTTCAGTTCTGCAGAAGAAAGGTGTTCCCAGACTGCTCACCCAACACTGTGAAAAAAACACTTGCCAGGACAGACCCAGGTGTGTGACCGTGGCCGAGTCGATAAACTGCATGCCATACACACTGGCAGCAGGCTCCCTGCTGGGACCCTAAGGATATGGGGGGGCATGGGCGGGATGACCCTGTCCACTGCACAGTTCAGCATCCTTGGCTCCTTTGCCAAGAACGCAGACACAGTGCCCCAGGATTGGCAACAAAAGCCTCCCCGACCCCAACAAGGACCCCGGCAGGAGCAAGGCTATGAGTGGGGAATGGAGCCACTCCACATCTTCAATCCTACGCAAGCTCCTACGCAAGCTCAGCATGTCCTTACCCACCGGTCCACCACCCTTTAAGTCTCAGCCCAGCCATCACATCTGCAAAAAACCTTCCCCAAGTTCCCCGTCTCCTACCTAGGTTAATCTTCCTATGTGGAACCCCATCTTTTGGCTCTGAAGCAATTGTTAAGACTAGCGAATGCCAGTCTTCTCCCCTTAGAAATGGAAGCTCCATGAGCAGCAAGAACGGAGAAAGGATCTACACCGCCACGCCTCCAAAGAAGACACACAGAGGCCTAAAAAGGCACAGGACAAGACCCTCCATCACGAGTCATCAAGGACACGCAGCCACACCCAGCCAGAGCCCACAACCCCCTGAGAGGATACACCACAAGGGGGCGGGAGCCAATGCTACTGCTGAGGACATGGCCAAACTGGAGCCCTCACATAGTGCTGTGGGGCTGATAGGGGCGCCCTCTATGGGGAACAGCTTGGCAGCAGTTCAAGGCATTACAGTTGTCTGGCGCTGTGGCACAGCCACTGCAGCCGCCACCTGTGACGCCAGCATCCCCTAATGAGTCCTGGTTCCATTCCTGGCTTCTCTGCTTCTGACCCGGCTCCCTGCTATTGCACCTGGGGAAGCAGCAGCAGATGGGACAAACACTTGGGTCCCTGGAACGGGAGACCTGATTGGAGTTTCCAAGGCTCTCAGACCTTGATCCAGCCCACTATAAATCTCTCACCCTCTAACGACCATGTGGGGAGTGAAACAGCAGGGGGAGGTCTTGTTTTATGTCTCTCCTTTTCTCTCTGTAACTCTTGCTTTCAAATAAATGAATATCAAAAAGAGATAGATTAGGAGCTGGCATTGTGACGTAGTGAGTAAAACCACCATCTGCAGTGCTGGCATCCTAAATGCTTTGTGTCCGGGCTACTCCAGCTTCCTATTTCTGGCAGTGTAGAAGCAGTGGAAAATCGTCTAAGTGTTTGGGAACTCAGATGAAGCTACTGGCTCCTGGCTCAACCTGGACCAGCCCAAGCTGCTGGGGTTGTATAGAGAGTAAACCAGCAGAAGGAAGCTCTGTCTCTCCTCTGTAACTCTTTAAAACAAATCAATAAACCTCTTCAAAATAAATAAGTAGGGGCGAGCATTGTGGCATAGTGAGTAAAGCTGCCACCTGCAGCATGTATGGCATCCTACAGAGACACCAGTTTGAGCCCCGGCTGTTCCAGTTTGGATGGAGATCCCTGCCAATGCATCCAGGAAAGCAGTAGAAAATGGTGCAGATGCTTGGTCCCCTTAACCCACGTGGGAACCCCCCCCAAAAAAAACCTCCTGGCTCCTGGCCTCGGACCAACTTATATCTGGCCTTCGGCAGATGGAAGATGACATCAGATGGCAGACCTCTCTCCATAACTCTGCCTTTCAGATAAATAAACACATAAATCTTTAAAAATAAATAACACGAAGCCAGAGTTCCATTTTACCCAGCAGTCCTGCTCTCACATATACAACTCAGAAAACTGAAAACGTGGGTTCCCACGGCACTCTGCATGACCCTCCAGGGCCAAAATGAGCAAACCACCCCAACACCTGCCGGTTTGTTTTTTCTTTTCCCTCTTTATTTCCAGTCTTTCCTTACCTTTCCCATGATAGTCAAAGTATAGGTCTTTTCTTTTTTTTAAGCATCCTCTGATGCTTTCCCAGGCCGCAAGCAGGGAGCTAAATCGGAAACAGGGCTACTGGGACACAAACTGGCACCCATATGGGATCCTGGTACACGCAAACCAATTACTTTAGCCACTAGGCTACTGTGCCAGGCCCACCTGCCAGCTTGTTGAACGGGCAAGTACTCTGGGTTACCACAGAACACAGGGCTTCATGTCCCACTATGGGGGATAAAACGCTGGCCCTTGCTCCATGGGTGAACCTTGGAGCCACAAAGCCATGTAAAAGCTGTTCATTGTGTACCGTATGACTCCAACAGGAAGGCCGACAGAGGCAAAGAAGGGATAGTGGGATGCCAGGACACGGGAGGTTGGGGAGAACTGGAGAGCGAGGGCTCGGGGGGGGGGGGGGGGGACGAGGACACCTTGGGGCTGATGAAAATGGTGTGGCGCTGACCATGGTCATGCCTGCACAACTCCGTGGATACACAAAAGACCGCCCGCTCTACATGCAGGAGCTGCATGTCAGGTTAATCATATCTCAATTAAGCTACCATCGAAAAGCAGTAGACAGAGTGAAACCCTGGGGCCCAGCACAGCGGCCTACAACTAAATCCTCACCTTGCATCCACCGACATCTCATTTGGCTGCTGGTTTGTATCCCAGCAACCCCGCTTCCCTTCCAGCTCCCTGCTTGTGGCCTGGGAAATCAGCAGAGGACAACTCAAAGCCTTGGGACCCTGCACCTGCATGGGAGACCCAGAAGACACTCCGGGCTCCTGGCTTCGGATCACCTCAGCTCCGGCCATTGTGGCCACTTGGCAGGGATAAATCAACTGACAGAAGATCTTTCTCTCTGTCTCTCCTCCTCTCTGTATATCTGACTTTCCTATAAAAATAAACAAGTCTTTTTAAAAAGAACTATTTTTATCTGTATCTCCTTCTCCCTGTATATCTGCTTTTCCAATATAAATAAACAAAACTTAAAAAAAAAAAAAAACTTGAAGAGGAGAGGAACCCTGCTGTTCTAACTGCTGGCCTTCCTGCCATTCATTCAGAGGCACCATCCATCCATCAGTAAGCTCACAGCATTCTAGATAACAGGAAGTGAGGGAAGGGCGGGATGGGGGCCTGGCATGGTGGCTCAATTGGATAATCCTCCTCCTACAAGCACTGGCATCCCATATGAGTGCCAGTGCATGTCCTAGCTGCTCCACTTCCAATCCAGGTCCCTGCTTATGGTCTGAGAAGGCAGTGGAAGATGGCCCAAGTCCTTGGGACTCTGCAAGAATGGGAGGCTCCAGGCTTCGGATCAGCTCAGCTCCAGCCCTTGTGGCCATTTGGGGAGTGAACTAGTGGATGGAAGATCTTTCTCTCCATTTCTCTATACATCTACTTTTCCAATAAAAAATAAAATTAAAAAGCAGTCTAGGTAACAGAAAGGTGTTCATAGTGCCCACTCTAGTATGCATTTCACATAAATATTTCACGTTAGGATTTTTTTTTAAGTTACGCTTGAATGATTGCAGGCAAAATTCTCCAATGCAGAATTTCACACACTGTGGTAACTTCTAGCACTGGAACTCTGAACCAGTGGGCAGATGTACTTAACAACTGTGTTAGAGCTGGGCGAGGTGAGCGTCACAGCACAGCTCATGAAGCCTCTGCTTGCAATACCCGCATCCCATATGGGAGTGACAGGATGAGTCCCGGCTGCTCCACTTCTAACCCAGCTCCCTGCCAATGCTCTTGGGAAGGCAGATGGCCCAAGAACCTGGGCTCTTGCCACCCACATGGAATTCCCACATGCCAGCTTTGGCCTGGCTCAGTTCCCACCTGTTACAGGTATTTAAGAAACAAACCCGTGCACTAGAGCTCTTTCCCTGCCTCTCAGATTCAAATGAATTTGTATAGATGTACAAGGCTGGTCTTCCGTGACAACTGTGGCAGTTTGCACGGCTCTCCAACTCAGGGTGCCCCCCCTTACCCACTCTCAGCCCACATCTTTCACCCCTTCCATGCAGGCAGTCCCCATGGGACTCCACTGTAACTCAAGCCTGTCTCTGCAATCCGGAGGAGTCCCTGGCAGCAGCCTAGCGCCCCTCTCACCCACGGGGAAATGGGCGTGAGGGTTGAAAACAAGGAGGACAGTGCGATGGCTCAAATGGCTAATCTTCCTCTTGCAAGTGCCAGGTTCCTCTAAGGGTGCCAGTTCATGCTGTGGCTGCTCCACTTCCCATCCAGCTCCCTGTTTGCAGCCTGGGAAAGCAGTGGAGGACGGCCCAAAGTTTTGGGTCCCTGCACCTGTGTGAGAGAACCAGAAGAAGCTCCTGGCTCCTGAGTTTAGACTGGCCTGGGTCCAGCCAACTGTGGCCATTTGAGGAGTGAAGCAGTGGATGGAAATATCTCTCTTTTTCTCCTTGTCTCTGTAAATCTGCCTTTCCAATAAAAATAAGTAAGTAGATATATTTTTTTTTAAGTGAAAGAATCTTGAGCAGGTACAGCGCAGACAACCCTTCTAGCAGGGGCAGCTGGGGACCCACTGCAGCCCTCCCAGCCCACCCACCTCAGCCTTGGCCAGCAGGATCTGCCTCTCCAGGTCCTCCGGGATCATCTTCCCTCTAAAAAACAAAATGGAGTGGGGAGAGGAACCCCTGGTGCCGCAGGGTCAGGGGGTTGCCACAGCTCAGTGAGGGCACAGGGAGCCAGGGCAGGGCTGCTTGGCAGCAGGAAATCACACCGTGCCAAGTTGGTCAGAAAGACACTCACCTGTCATCAGCCTTGACCATGCGGACACTGTCGGTGCCAAGCCCCAGGAAAGCGGCTCCCTTGCTGATGGAGTAGTGACACTGCGGAGGGAAGGCAGAGGCGGGCAGATGAGCACCCAGGCGGCGAGGGCAAATGAAGAAGGGAATGGTTGGGGTGGGGAATGGTGGGGATGAGATGTCACAGTGCAAGAATGATACACCCCACAGACCAGCGCCATGCCAATGTCTACACACATGCTTGTCAGCTCAGATGTGCCAGGGCCCGGCTGGAGCCCTGGAGCCTTAAACTCTAACAAGCTCCTGGGACAACGTCCAGGCTACTGGGCCTGAACAGCAAGGGTACAGGCTATGCCCACCACACTCCCCAGTCTACCCATTGACCTGGGGGCAGGAGGAGGTGGGAGGAGGGCCTGAAGGGTGTCAGGCTCAGCAGGAGTCCCACCTCCTCTGACGTGAAGAGGGCCAGGGGTGGCAGTGCCCGGAGTCCCCTCTGCTTGCACTCTGGGTAGCGCTGGTAGCGGGCCAGGTTCACAGCGTACATGTTAGAGATGGAGCCACCTGTGGCAGGGAGAGGCAGGTAACCAGAGGGAGGCGTCATGACTCAGGATTCCCCCGACTTTTCGCCACCAGAGGACCTGATGAAGGATGTGGGCATGCCTGGCTCCCTGCCCACCAACTCTCAAGGATCTAGAACAGCCAGCCCCAGGATCAGCAAATGCAAGGCTGAAGATGGGCTGCCCCACGAGACCTCTCCTCCCCATCAACCAGCAAATCAGGGGCCTGAATGGACGAAGGGGACAGGGTAGCCTTCTCCCCAGGCTGGTCAGGGCCCAGCGAGAGAGAAAACAAAGAGGAATCTCCCCTCCTCCTCTCCCCACTAGCTGCTTTCAACAACAACAACAAAAAAAGAGGTGGCAGGGAAGCGGGTGCACTTCAAGAGGCTTCTCCTTCTCACATACCAGGGCAGAAGACCCCATCCCCGGAGGTCCAGCCCACCAGGGCCCGGAGCTTGCCCAGCACCTCCTCTTCCATGAGCACAAACACGGGGGCGATTTCGTACGTGTACCTGCCGGCACAGGGAATGATGACCCCAGCCAAGAAGCTCGTAGGGGCTGCCAGGCGAGGCCCTTGAGTCACAGGTTAACCGAGGGAAGCAGGTGTCAGGGAAGAGGCAAAGGTGATGCCGAGAAGCAAGGAAATAAGAATGTGAACAAGCTGGGGCAACAGGGGGCATCTGAAGCTTGAGAAAGCTTGGAGAACAGGGACCCTGGGGTGCAGGGAAAGGGGCAGGCACCCTGCTTTTCTGCCTGGGCCCAGTCCCTGACACCCTCGCCCTCCCCCGGCAGCCCTCTGGCCAGCCGGGTGGGAGGGGTGGCTCACTGGCTGGTGTTGATGCTCTCGGTGATGATACGGCCAGCCAGGGAGTGTGGATCCAACCCCGAGAAGAGCTGGTTGAAGAACCGAGGGTGACCTGAGGAGGAGTAGGAAACGGGCACGCGGCTCAGCAAGGATGCTGCTGTGGGGTGTGGGGTGCAGGGGCCCCAGAGACCCCTCCTGCCAGGAGCCCCAGGGCAGGGGGAGGAGGAGAGAGTTGAGCTAAGCCCGAGCCGCACCAGTCTTCACGCTGTAGTGGATCACGGCGCGGCAGCGCTCCAGCAGCTGCTCCCGCGACTCGCCCTGACCCCGCAGCTCCAAGTCCAGCAGCTGCTTCAACTCATCGGGCTCCTTCCACTGGCAGACCTGGGAGAAGCCAGGGCGATGCAGAACCCGGGACGTGTGTGCCCCATGAGCACCACGTGTCGCTTGGGAACATGTTAAAGCAACAGGGAGTGGCAGGCATCAATAGGTGCTTTGTCCACATGCAGAGCAGAATGGGGGCCCCAGGGACACACAGGGGACAGCTCTGAGGAGAGGAACAGGAGATGGAGTGGAGGGGGACCCACCTTCTCAGAGACGCTGGTCCCCTTCCGGATGGCTTCATCCACCACAATGGTAAACACGTCCCGGAGCAGGGCTTCCATGGCCACCGGGTCCCCATCGGCGCAGGGCAGTGGCTTCGACTCAGCCATCAGGATGCAATCTGTGAGCAGAGCGGAGCTCACTGTCCTCTCAGCCTGCTGCAGCCCACCTGAACAGACCTCAGCCAGAGCCTCCAGCCTGCCGCTCAGGCCCAGCTCCCAGGGCATGGGTGAGAGGGAGGGAGTGGGTGCGGGTTCAAGTCCCAGCTGCTCCAATTTCCTTCCAGTTCCCTGCTAATGTGCCTGGGAAAGCAGTGGAGCATGGCCTAAGTCCTTGTACCCCTGCACTCAGGCAGGAGACCTGGAAGAAGCTCCTGGCTCCTGGCTTTGGATTTAGGCAATGAAAGATGGATCTCTCTCTGGGTTTCTCTCTCTCTCTCTCTCCACATGTGTCTCTCACCCTCTTTCTATAACTCTGCCTTTCAAATAAATAAATCTTGAATTTTAAAAAAAAGTGAGGAAATGTATCCTGGAAGGAAGTTAGTAGAAGGAGGCAGGAGAGAGCAAGCGGCGGTGAATGGCACCAGCCACGGCCAGGTACCTCGCCACCAAGATGCCGGTTAGAGCGAGCAGGAATCGAGGTACACAAGGAGCTTCTCAGACCAGCAGGGCGAGACAGCAATGGAACCTTGCCCTAAAGGAGATTGCCCCAGATGTGGGACAACAGAAAGCTAAGTTCCCTGAATAATTATTAGCTGGGTGAAGAACCTGGGAAAGAGATAAAAGCCCGAAGTGCAAGCACTTTAACCTCCGGTGTGTGGGCGGGACAGAGCACAAGCAAGGAGGCAGGGCCCAAAGTGGGGTGTGAGGAAGTCTGCAGGGGAGACCCCGAAATGGTAACGCAGGAGATGTCAGAGAAGGCGAACCAGGGAGGAGGTTGAGTGGCTTCTGCCCACCTGGGAGGCAGCTGTGTGTCCACACGATGGTGCTGGGGACTGAGGAGCCTGGAACCCTCAGACGTAAAGGCAAGGGGCACAGGCCAGGCCCAGCCCAGGCCAAGCCTGAGTGTGCTGAGAATCCAGCAACAGGCAGGGAAGAGCTGCAGTCGGACTGGAGCCAAATGGCCAAGAGGGTCAAGAAATGGGGTGAGCAGAGCGTGCTTGGGAGTGGTGGGCAGAGGACCAGGAGCTCCAGCTGGGCTGAGTACAGCCAGGGCAATAAGGCAGTGAGGGCAGCTGGGGCAGCCCAGGAGGCTGGCTGGGCAGAGTCGGGAATGGGGCCAGTCTGAGGATCCGAGGATTCGTGTTCCGCAGGAATGGGAAGTCACCCTGAGAAGACCTGCTGTGAGCACAGCTTCTAGGACAGGGGTCCGGCATAGCAGTTAAGCCGCCTGTGTCCCCCATCATAGGGCGTAGGTTTGAACCCCAATTCTGGCTCCTGACTCCCACTTGCAGTGGTGATGGCTCAAGTGCTTGGGGCTCCTTCCACCCACATGGGAGAACCTGAAAAACCCTGGTCTGGCCTGGTCCAGTCCCAGCCATTGCAGCCATTTGGAGATTGAACCAGCAGGTGAAAGATCTCTCTCTGTCTCTCCCTCTCACTGTAAATCTGCCTTTTTTTTTTTTAAGATTTATATATTTTTATTGGAAAGTCAGATATACAGAAAGAAGAGACAGAGAGGAAGATCTTCCATCCGATGATTCACTCTCCAAATGGCTGCAACAATGGCCGAAGCTGAGCCGATCCAGAGCCAGGAGTCAGGAGCCTCTTCCAAGTCTCCACGCGGGTACAGGGTCCCAAGGCCTTGGGTCGTCCTCAATTGCTTTCCCAGGCCACAAGCAGGGAGCTAAATGGGAAGTAGAGCAGCCAGGACATGAACCAGCACCCATATGGAATCCTGGTGCGTGCAAAGCGAGGACTTTAGCCGCTACGCTACCGCATCAGACCCTGTAACGCCACCTTTCAAATAAACAAAATACATCTTTAAATAATAAAGAACAAAGAATGCAGAAACTAGGTAACTGGATGGATAGGAAAATGGTCATTTTTTGGGAACACATCTCCAAGTGGAACTCTCCCGAGGTTGCCTGGCACTTTGATGAGATGCTGGAGCTGAAAGCAGGAGTGAGGGGTGGAGGGCAGAGGTGAGGGGCAGGGCAGGGGGGTGGTTGGAGGCAGAGCCGGGGGGGGTTAGCTGGTGTCTCATAATGGATTCTAGTCCCCAAGGGAATCTCCATGCTGGAAAGAGAGGGGCAAGCACCGAGTCCTGGGGGCCACCACCCCCCAACAAGTGAGGGAACAGGAAGGTTAGATAAATCAGGGAAGAGAACGGGGGGCCCAGCATGGTTGCTCTGATGGAGTGCACTGCCAACTCGCCCTGGGGGACGAGGGAAGGTGCAGACCCAAGGGACTGCCTGCCCTTGGCCTTTTCTGGAGTGGCCTGAACATGGAAGAAACGGGAGGCCCTAATCTGGACCTCCAGGAGGACCTTCCCCAGTCCTCGCTCCAGCTCTCCTAACCAAAGGGAGGGAGGCAACGTGGAGGGCGAGAGCCGGAGGGAGGAGAGAAGCCACCACAGGCTGCCCTCCGGACACAGTCTGTCTCATTCTAACCTTCTGTTTCTCACCATTGCCGAGGTGTGGCTACCAGCCCCTCACCCCGCCACCTCTCCGAGAGGCAGAGGGCACGGGCCCAGTGCCCGAGTTCCTGGAAAACCGAGCGTGGCTGCCAGTCCCGAAGCGGGCCCTACCACAGCCCTGGCTGTCACAGACAACAGGGCAGTGAACTGGTAGATGGCAACTCTCTCTGGCTGTCTTTATTTAAACAAGTAAACCCTTTCATGTCATTAGAAAACAAACAAAGCAAGGCCAATAACCCACAAGACAAAATAATAAACAAAGAAGCGCCTGAGTGAGAAGATGCTGGTATAATCAAATAGGATTTGCTTGAAAATGTCACTGGCTCCCGGGTTCGGATTGGCTCAGCCCCAGCCGTTGTGGTCACTTGGGAAGTGAACCAGCAGATAGAAGATCTTTCTGTCTCTCCTTCTCCCTGTAGATCTGCCTCGCAATAAAAATAAATAATTTTTTTTTTTTAAGTTACAAGTTTTTTTTCTGACTTCTAGTCCCTAAATCTCTCTGGGCAGTATCTCCCTTGGACTTCACTGTTTGCATTTACGCTGCCCTCACTGCCTGCCCCCTGATCTAAACAATCTCTAGTCAATAACAGCTTCCCTGCCCTCTGACCTTCCGCCACATCCACTACACCCACTGCGTTCTGCCAACAAAACCACACACCTTTTCCTCGTGGTGCTCTCTATGTCACTTCCATTAAACATGGCAGATTTCATGCAGGTTGGAGCCACCACCCGCAGTGCCAGCATCCCATATGGGCATCGGTTCAAGGCCCCAAGTACTCCACTTCTGACCCAGATCCCTGCTGATGTGCCTGGGGGAGCACAGAAGAAGACACCCCAAGTCTTTGGGCCCCTGCACTCACTTTGTCCTGAGTCAGTCCCAATTATTGTAGCCATTTGGGGGAGTGAACCAACAGCAAAAGTCTCTCTCTCTCCCTTCCTCCTCTCCTCTCCTACTCCCTCTGTAAGTCTTTCAAATGAATACACTTTTTAAAAACTCTTTTTAGAAAAAAAAAATTTAGAAGACCAATACAAAACATCAGTATTCAACTGACCCAAGTTTCAGAAAGAAGCGGAAAAAGAAATCAGAGGAAGACATGACACGATAACCTAGTAGTTACAGTCCTCGCCTTGCACATGCCAGGATCCCATATGGGCGCCGGTTCTAATCCCAGAGGCCCACTTCCCATCCAGCTCCCTGCTTGTGGCCTGAGTAAGCAGTGGAGGACGGCCCAAAGCCTTGGGACCCTGCACCCATGTGGGAGGCCCGGAGGAGGCTCCTGGGTCTGGCTTCAGATCGGCTCAGCTCTGGCCATTGTGGCTACCTGGGGAGTCAACGGAAGATCTTCCTCTCTGTATATTTGACTTTCCAGTAGAAATACATAAATCTTAAAAAAAAAAAAGAAAGAAAAGAAATTATCAGAGGAAGATTTACAGAGCAGGATTGTGTAAGAGACTCAGGCAACTACATGCAGGTACATGACCACGCTGGCTCAAAAAGCAGGGGGGTGATCCAAAGGCTTCCAGAGATAAAACACAGCAGGGCAGCCAGCCGACACAGGTCACTGGGTTACAGGAAGCACCGGCTCCCAGATTCCTCTCCCCCAGGAAGGAAGCCACGAGGAAATTTCTAGAATGTCACGCAGGCAGTGGCTGTCTTTAGAGGAAACAGGAAGCAGCTATGAGCCTTCCAGCGTGCCGTCCACATGGCCAAGGATGCCTGGGCAGCAACCAGCATGGCCAGGTGTCACGGAGCGGGGAGAGGATGAGAGAGACACACACACAGGCACTTGCCACAGTGGGTGACAATCAGCTGTCCCAGGCACCCGCCACGTGGCAGAAAGGGTCAGCGGGACACGCAGCCCTGCCTGGCCACACCACACTTCTTCAGCTCTATTGTCAAGATTTCTACAACTGCTGTTTAAATGCTCCATTCCTCTAAGCAACAGGTCCATCTTTCTCCTCGCACCCTCTCACTCTTTCAGTTTTCTTTTCTCTCTCTCTCATTCCATACATACATATATATATATATATATTTAATTGGAAGATCTTGCATCCATTGGTTCACTCCCCAAATGGCTGCAATGGCCAGAGCTGAGCCAACCTGAAGCCAGGAGGTTCTTAGGGGTCGCCCACCCCCAATGGATTCAGAGGCCCAAGGACATAGGCCAACCTCCACTGACTTCCATAAGTAGGGGGCTGGATCGAAAGTGGAGAAGCCAGGACTCAAACCGCCCTCCGTATGGGATGCTGGTACTGGCAAGTAGAGCCTATTGAGCCACCGAACTGACCCTTCCTTTTAGTTTTGTTGAGAGAAACAAAGTTCCCAGGACACTGTGCTCTCTGTTCTCCAGGCCCATGTGTTTGCTCTTCATTACACGCCGGGCACCCGGGCTGCTGCTACCAGTACATGAAGCCTACAATCTACGGCACAGGTCACGGGAACCTGAAGATGGGCAGCAACACCACCCACACATGAGCTGCTGCTGCCCCT